AACATTTGCTAGAATGCATCAATCTTGACTTTTTCTTTATTGGGAGTTTTTTAAATTACGGATTTAATCTCATTATAGGTCTATTCAGATTTTTTATTTCTTCTTGAGTCAGATTTGAGAATTTGTATGTTCCTAAGAATCTTCTATTAGTATTTCCTCTAGGTTATCTAATATGCTGACATACAATTGTTAACAGTATTTTCTTATAATCCTTTATTTGTATAGAGTTGTTAGAAATATCCCTTTCATTTCTGATTTTAGTAATTGAATCGTCTCTCCTCCATCTAACTAAAGGTTTGTCAATTTTGTTTCATTGATTCTATTGTTTTTTTCTTCTACTCTCTATTTTATCTGCACTCTAATATTTATTTCCTTCCTTTTGGTTGCTTTGGGTTTAGTTTGCTCTTCTTTTTCTAATTCCTTAAAATGGAAAATTAGGTTATTGGTTTGAGGTCTTTTTCCTTTTTTTATGTAGGCATTTACAGCTGTTTCCCTCTGAGCACTGCTTCCACTGCATCCCACCTTTTGGTATATTGTTTTCCTTTTCATTAATCGCAAAGTATTTCCTAATTTCTCTTGTAATTTATTCTTTAACTCATTTGGGTTATTTTTTTTTACTATCTCTCTCCCCCTCTCCCTCTCTGAAATCAATAAAAATATATATATATATATTTTTTAAAAGAGTATGTTACTCAGTTTCCATATATTTCTAAAATTTCCAGATCTCCTCCTGGATATTTTCCATGTGCACTTGAGAATGTATATTCTATTGTTGGGTGCACTGTTCTATATGTCTGTTAGGTCTAGGTAGTTTGTAGGGTTCAAGTTTTCTGTTTCCCTTCTTCCTTGCCTAATTGTTCTAATAGAGAAAGTGGGATGTTGAAGTCTCCAACTATAATTGTTGAACTATTATTTCCTGTCAGTTTTCTTTCAAACTTTCCTGGGGCTCTTCATTTTCCAAAGGGGCAAGAGGCCCAAAGAGGGGAAGTGATCTTTCCAGGATCACGCAGCAAATCGGTGGCTCAGCTGAGATCAGAACAGGGATGCTGGTTCCTGGGCCAGTGCTTTCTACTTCAGGACTAGCTCAGCTCTGATTGTTGGGAAGGAACCAGGTCCAGGGTGGACCCCAGGATTAGGCAAAGGAGAGCTTTCCAAGGAGCCAGGGTGAGGGTAAGAGCCCCTCACAGAGTTGGGGGCCTGATTGGATCCTTTGCTGAGAGGGGACCCTGTATGTGGCCAGGTTGAGGACTAGTAATGACACGTCTCTCAGAGGAGCACAGGTGGTAGGTGTGGTGGGTGAAAATGTAAGCTGGTATCTTCCTGGGGAGATGGTTTAGGTCAGGGGTGGGCAAACTTTTTGACTTGAGGGCCACAATGGGTTCTTAAACTGGACCGGAGGGCCGGAACAAAAGCATGGATGGAGTGTTTGTGTGAACTAATATAAATTCAAAGTAAACATCATTACATAAAAGGGTACAGTCTTTTTTTTTAGTTTTATTCATTTCAAACGGGCCGGATCCAGCCCGCGGGCCGTAGTTTGCCCACGGCTGGTTTAGGTTGATTTCTGTTTCTAGGTCTGACTCCATGTCGTATCAGCCAGGGCAGGAAGAAGCTGACAGTAGAAATAGGGTCAAATCGCAGGCTAGGATTATAACTCCCCATCAAAGTAAGAGAATGGGCGTGGTGTGGCCATCCAGCTGTTGCTTGGACCAGGGGTATCTGCAGAAGTTCACCTCTCAGATCCCTCTTACCAAAGCTGGGAGCGGACATGTTCCATCTCCCATTACCTAACTGGATTCCAAACACCCTGCCACCTGTACAAACACCCTGTGTGAACACACCGCTCTCAGAAGTTCTCTGTCTCAGTACTTAGATGGGCATCAGAGTCTTGAGGCAAGCAGGTAGGGTGCAGGTCCCGGGCCCCATGCCGGCTCTGCATCTGTGAGGGGGGCCCAGGACCTGCCTCTTTAACAAGCTCCCAGATGACCCTGACGCACACTCAGGTATTTACTATCTTTATCTGCTTCAGTGTCACAGAAACCCATCTCAGACAGATCATCAGTGTTTGAAAGGCTCACGTCTGATAGGTAATTCCACACCTCCCTTTGTCTCCGTTGCAGGGACATGGTTTCTGCAGCCTCCTCATACATGAAAGCACTGTCAAGATTACTATGGTTAAGCCGTGACTCGGTTGGGCACCGTCCCCTGCACCAAAAGGTTGCTGGTTTGCGATGCAGTCAGGGCACAACGTGTCCAGGTTGCAGGCTTGATCCCTGGTGGGGGCAGGAGGTGGCTGATAGATATACCCCTCAATCAATGTTTCTCTCTCTTCCTCTCTAAAAATCAGTAAAAAATATATATATATTTTTAAATTTGTGGCTAGCCCAGCTGGCATGGCTCAGTGGTTGAGCATCAGCCTATGAACTAGGAGGTCAGGGGTCAATTCCTGGTCAGGGCATATGCCCAGGTTGCAGGCTCAATTCCCCATGGGGTGTGCAGGAGGCAGCCAATCAATGATTCTCTCTCTCCCCCTTCCTCTCTGAAATCAATAAAAATATATTAAAAAGAAAAAAAAACTGTGATTAAGAAGGTGGTGAATATAGAGCTGGACTTTTACCTCCCCTTTTGCTTCATTTTTCATTCTGTTTTCAAATCTAAAGTGCTCAGATCCAACCTCGGTACAGGCCTCCCCTTGGACAATTACAGCTCGATGGAAATATTGAATGGGCTTTGGTGGAGACAGAAGTATTCTCAAAGTATTATCCATGGAGTTCATGGTGTTGAACAGTGGAGGCTACCTGCTGGGTCTCTCCCGCCGCCCCCGCCCCCCACACACACACACTTCTATTGTCTGGGCTACCCAGTTCAAGCCTCAGTTCATTGGGTCCCATTACAGCATATTGACTCCCTGACTCTGCAATAGAACTGCTTTTTCTTTTTTTTTTAATGTTCCTAGTTCCTTTCCTCGGTATTTTATGTCACACTAAGGTTTAAGAACAACCACGTCAGGGCCATTTCCCCAGCAATACAAAGTGCACATTCCAAGGTTCCTTCCCTAAATGTTACAGCCGAGACGAGTGACTCACTTGCCGCACCCTAGGCCCAGTGCTACCCTTAGCAGTGTTCCTTCCAGGGCCCCACCGCTGTTGAAAACTTACTAAGGGCTGAATTCACCTGGAGCCCCATCACCTATTCTGAAAGTGACGTTAGACTTTCATGGACTGGCCTTGACCAACAACCCAAAAGGCTGCAGAAAACCATGTAGTCCTCTCCCAAAATGATGATCTGTAAGGTCAAATGCCTCCCTTCCCATCTTTTTTTGTCCTGAGAATAATCACTGTTAACAACCACCTCCCACTGACCTTAAAAGCCAGGTACCTTGGCCCCTAGAGAGATCTATGAGTTCACAGCCCTCCAACCCAAACTTACTATGGATTGGGTCCCCTGGACATGACCAAGAAGGCAGCCAGAGGGACAGGAAGGCAAAGGGAACCAGGACCAGGATGAGCACAGGTGTCCCAAGTGCAAAAACTAGGGTCTCAAATTCAAAGGCCTACAGGGGCCAAATAGGTAACATGTGATGGTGGAGCACATTAAGGAGTGGTGGGTCCTGTAGTGAAATGAAGAGTGTATGCCTAAAGGGGGCAACAGCAGTTTGGCTCCAGCAGCATCTGCTGTGCAGGAATGGTAGGCCAATACTGCCAGAATTTTTGGTTTTTCAAGAGAAGCCGGGAATGCCCTGGCCGGTGTGGTTGTTGGTTGAGCTTCCTCCCGTATTCCTGTCAGGGCACATACCCAGGTTTAGGGTGTGATCCCTGGTCAGGGCGTGTGTAGAAGGCAGATCGATTTTTATGTCTCTCCCTCTCCCTTCCTCTCTCTCAAATCAATTAAAAAAAAAAAAAAGAAAACAGCATCAATTTTCTTCCTTTATTTTAAAAAGTCTAAACTTGTGCAAACATGAAATCTTTCAGTACTTAAATGTTGGTAACAAGTTCAAATATCTAAGAACTCATTGGAGACCAAGGTCAATGCATGTGCAGTTAGACAGCGCTGCTGGGCACCAGGCGGGAACCCTGGTGTACACAACCGGGCCGACATGTCACAGACATCAGCAGTCACATCGGAGCAGGCCGAATCCAGGTACCCAGCTCTGAGGCTGCCGGGTCAGCCTGAGTTCATGGCAACTTGGGCAATGCCAAGTGGTCCATCCCGCCAGGCAGGGCACACCTGCCACCCAAGGGCAGGGGCCTGCCCTAGGGAAGGAACACCTCAGCCAAGCATACTGGGTCTTGGGCAAGAGGCTCCAGCACGGAAACTGAGGCAGAGCTGGCGTGACAGGAGGGCCTGCCATTGGTGCCAGTGCCCACACCAGTCTCCTCTGGCTGGGGAGGGCAGGTCTAGGTAGACCAGGCTCCTGTCCTGCTTATGGCTGCTCCATGCCCCTTGGGCGACCCCCTCCTCTCACCATGTCCAAGGGGCAGTGAGGTCTCCCCAAGCCCTCCCAGTCTCGGGATTCTCTCCTTTCTACACTTTCCACATGGGAGGTCAGAAAGGGAGTGAAGGGACAGGACAGAGACTTCTGGACACTCTGCCCCTTCTGGACTTGCCCGTTCCTCACACCATCAACCGGAGGGCAAGGAGCCTGCCAGGGCCACAGCCATGACCACCCGCTCAGACGGAGGGTCCTCAGGGAACCTGGCAGTAAGGCCTGCCCAGGAGGCACGCACAGGCTCCTTCCCGTGTCCCTCCTTCGGACCTGAGCAACCCACCCCCCACCTTGCTCTCCTGTGACCCAAGTCTCTGCGCCTTCTCAGGGCCTGGGCCCCGCGTGGATTTCAGAAGCATCCTTACAACCTGGGTCCCTGTGAACTGCTCACGCCCAGGTTTCCTGAGCACACGCTTCTGTGTAACGCCACACACATTTCACTGGCCAATAAGGTTGGAACCCCTGGGGACAGGGCAGAACCACGAAGCAGAAGTAAAGAGACTGGCACCAGGGGAACGTTTCCAGAATGTTCCAGAGCTGGCTGGCTTTAATTTAGAAACAGCTTTTGGCCATCAGCATCCAGGTGTAAGGCACATTCTCCGTTACAAAGAGCCCTGTAACAGGGAGCTGGCTCTGTTCCCTGCTTTTGCATGAAGAAGGAACAGATGACTTTCTGGCTTTTTGTTTTTTCTTCTCTAAAAAGCAGTGAGTTTGGCAATAACAAAGCTCATGACACATCCTCACCAGATTCAAAGATTGCCCTGAAAGGTCCTCCCTTTTCCTCCTCAGTGAGGACATGGCACTGCCCCCCGACTGCTCGCACCCGAAATGTGTGGCAGCGGAGTAGACGCACCTGTCTGGCAATGACTATAAAAAAATGCCTCCAAAAAACATTAAAATCAAGTGACTAAAATGAAGCCGAGTGTCTCAGCTACAAGCAAAGGGGAATGGCTGCATGAGTCAGAGATAAAACATCTACTTTAGCAGCAAGAGGCTGTGAGGGCGGTGGAGGGAAGGAGACGGCGTCCTGAGCGTCCAGGCCAACCAGGCCCGTGGGCATGACCAGGAGGGGCGGGTGGGCACGGTCAGGAGGGGCGAAAAAAGGGGCGGGTGGGGACAGGGCCGAGGATCCATGGGTTGTCGGCACTGGGGTTGGGGCTATCTTGTGGGTTTGGTAGAAAGAGACAGACATTCTTTTGGCCTTTTCCTAGCATCACTGTTGCTGGCAGGTGGACAGAGTGAGCCACTGGTCACCACTCAGTCGTTGCCACCACAGATCTTCAGCAGAATCTTCCGGTAATCCCCCGAGGTGTCCCCCTGTCAGAAAAATGGGTGCATCAGGCAAGGGAGACGTGGCCAGTCTGGGCCTCCTGGCTCCTCACTTTCTTCTGCCCCAAGTGCCCTTACAGAGCGGCAGGCCCATCCCAGGGTAGTGCCCTGCCACACAGGGGCCAGAGCGGCCAAGACTCCCCCACTCGGCAGCTCGGGCCTTGGCCATGCCGTTGGCCTCCCCCAGCCCCTTAAAAAAACAGAAAGCTACAATCACCCCAATGTCAAAGTCAGAATCTGAAAAATAAACCCAAATTTTAAATGGTCAGACACACCACAGCCCAGGGCTAACTAATGGCGCCACTTCCCCGCGCATTTTTGTTGTGCCCGATGGGGTTTATATTGTAACAGTGGTGTGTCCCACTCAGGAAATGTGCCAGACTGACAGTGGGGGGCGCTGTTTTAACTGGGCACCCAGTTCACACTGCTGTCTCCTCCCCCTGAGCCCGCGGGACTGACTTCAAGGTGCAGCCGCGCTTTGCTAATGTGTAATCAGTTCCTTCCTTAAAGGCAAGGCCTGTGGGGTCTTGCAGATGCCCACAGCCGCTGGCACAGAAAATGATACTTCGTGGCTAATTACTAATTCTCCTCTACAGAGAGCATTGTTACAGCCAGGGCAATGGAGTTAGCTCCTCCCAGCGACACGCCCAATAGCACATGCTAATGGTTTGAAATTGGGACTTGGTCATGGTGACTGCAAGGCTCACACGAGTTCGGAATTTAACTGTCAGGCCACGCAGACAGGAGTATGCCTGTCACACAGCTCCACACACGGTGACTGTCAGACCCGTACGCGTGTCCCCGTACTCGTGCTTTACAGGGACCTCGTTCAAGTTCACCACTCCCAGGGGAGCACCAGCCCCTTGCCTTGCGATGGGGGATGGGTTTTGAGGGTTAAGGTAGCTGCTCAATCACACAGATCTCCAACGCGAGGGCTGGGCTCCACGCCGCGGGACTGACCCGGGCCCTCTGCACCGCCCTCCCGACTGCTGAGGACGCGGGGTGCGGTGGCAGCAGGGAGGGCCTATTTGGAGCAACTGGATGAAGAAGTAAAAGCTGAGAGAGAAAGTACAAGGTCCACAAACAAGACCCGGCAGAGGCCGAGGCCGAGCCGTGGGAGCTGAGGCGGGTAAAGGAGGCAGTGAGGGGGCAGGGTGCCTGCAGGCCAGCGGGCGGCCCAGCTACCCCGAGGCCCATACCGTGATGTCGTGGTACAGCGACTTGCCGTACAGCCGCTTGTACTCCGTTCTGATGTCCAGGAGGTCAATCTCGCTGCGAGACACCATGATGCGAATCAGGGTCCGGTCCTTTGTTCCTGCTCCCTAGAGGGTCCACATGGTGTGAGCAGCGGGCCTCATCACCCCACCTTCCCAGGTCGTTGGTGCCCTCCTGCCTGGGGCCCTCGTCCTCTTGGCTGAGGGATAGCTCTCCCCATGCCTTCTACCAGAAGCGTTGGTCCCAGCCAGAGGTGAGGCTGACCCGCCACCCCCCGCCCCTCCACGGAGAAGTTGCGTACCCTCATGGCTTTGTTGAGCCTTTCAGCAAAGAAGGCAGGGGTGTTCTTGAGACATTTCACTGGAAGAGAGAAACACAGCATAACTCCTTCTGCAGGTAAACAGTCCAGGGGGCCACTTCCTCCCCCTTCTCCTCCAGGTTCAGTCAATCAGCCAGTCTCCACCCCAGTTCTTTGGATACACATGCAGGGCCTGGACAGCACCCCGGCCTCTTTCCTGGCACCAGCAGGGTGAAAG